CTCCTCTCTCTCGATCAGCTCCTTGATCCAATCAATGACCCTTCCAATTCTGCAAACACTCTTCTCCACTCTCACAACCACCTCAATCAAGGCCCTCTACTCCGGGTAAGTTACTATATTCCGCTACTCTTTACTCCACTTCAGCCTTTCTGTCTTTGCCAAGTGAGTATTATTTGATCTGGTCATTTCTGTGCTCAAAATTCAAGTATAAATTCATTTTTTAAACTGGCTTTAACAGCTTTAACTCATACTAAACTCCACCACATAATCAGATGGATATGTGTGTGTGTGTGTGTGTGTGTGACTCTGGGCAAGTCATTTAACCCTGTTGGCCTCAGTTTCCTCACCTGTAAAATGAGCTGGAGAAGGAAATGGCAAACCATTTCAGTATCCTTGCCAAGAAAACCCCAAATGGAGTCATAAAGAGTCAGACACAACTGAAACCACTGAACAACAACAAACTACAAGCCTGTAAGCTCATTGTAAGCTCAGAAGGACTGCGTATATCCCCCAACGCCTAGTTCAGTGTTTTGCAAACAGCAAAGAATTAGTGTTTATTGAATTGAATCTAGATATACTTTTATTTTACATGTAAAGAAGGCTGATCAAAACAAGTTTATGACATTTCTATGTAATAAAATACATAGAGATTTAAAAATTTGTTTCGGTCAGCTTTCATATGCAAAAATAAAAAAAATTAGATTTATAAGCATCTTTATGAACAGGTAATTCAAGAAAGTACAAAAATATTTTTAATGAGAGTCTTGCATATTCCATGATACTGTTTCTTAAAAAAAAAAAGAAAAAAGAAAAGAAAAAAATTGTAAAACTCTAAAGTAACCCAAAAGTTTAATTATCATTAATAGTTGGGGACAGATACAAGCACATTTTTAACTATACCCATAAAATTTAGGGCTGATAACTGCAAACTAAAGGTCAGAAACAGATTATTTTCTAAAATGTACCTAACTGAATTTAAAAGAAAAAAAAGTAACATCCTTCTAGTTGTATAGCTGACAAATCATCAGGAGATTTTTTTCCCCCATGTCCTTCCTTCTATCTGTAGATACTTGATTCAATGACAAATAAGGACCCCTAGTAGAGTGGATACATCTCTATTCTATGTGGTAGGCTGAGACGGCCTGTATTTGGATCTGACACTTGTGTTTCTAAATATGAATAAATAAATTGACATTTTAGTGAATAAATCTGTCTCTTTTGAGTGTTGTTGGCATGGATTTATTTCCCTAGGATAGATTCTAAATGATCAGATTGAGGATTCCCAACTGGGGGGACACATATTTGGGAACACAAGAACTTTGTCACTGGAGTACAGTACAGGGAATATTTGATAAATGACTGTATTACCCAACTGCAATATTCCCAAAGTGGTAGTTGGTGAAACATTCTGCAGAAGATGGGGCAGAATGGGAAAAGGAGGAAGACTTAAACTGCATCTAAAAAATTGGAAAGAGACAGTTGAAGGAATAAATCCTACTGACCAAGACCAAATGAATGGGGGGTTTAAAAATGAAACCCTTTTCATATTGAGATAGGGAAAAAAATCAGCAACAACACCCCAGTAAAAGATTAACGAATTGATCTCCACAATAACCAGAAACTCTGAATTGATTTCAAATAGATTAAATTACAACACTCTTAATGTACCCTTGGAGAAACATCTCATTATTACTAATGTGCTCAGAGGTTCTGATTCTGTTTATGACAACTTATCTTTGTGAATCAGGATTCTTGGTCCTCTTCTCAAATCCAAAGCAACAATGGAAGGCTGAACATGATATGCAGGATCTCCCTCAAAAAGTATACTTAGAATAAAACTGCTAGTTTACAAGAAACAGAATTAACAGTCTCACTATTATTGGATTGTGTTCTACTAAACATTTAAGAAATTTATGATACTAAAAATGCTATGTACAGAACAGTTTTCTTCATGAAAAATTAATCCCTTTGTTTTATTTCTTATGTGCATGTGTACAGTAAACTCGATATTACTTTTCATATTTGTTAACGATTATGAAAAGGTTTACTGAAAGCCAAGAGTTCTGGGGACTAAAAAAATTGAGGTAAATTGGTTTTCAGCTTGTGAACCTGTACTTATGGTTACCTCACCAAGCTACAGGTATCTTGTGAGGTGTAGTCTGAAAGCTCATCCAGGCTCATCACATATGAAATATTTCAGAACAAGTTCAGGGCTTGTTCTCTAATAAAGCAGGGGATTGGCAGGTGAGTACTACAGGTAGGTACTACATCCCTCACTCTGGACTGTGCAGCCCATAAAAAAGACATTTCTAGCAACAATAACTGATACAAAGAAAGGTGTTTACCTCCCAACCTAAGAGCCTAATAAAGTCCAATAAGTTGGATCATTTTGCATGTGTATGACAGAGGGTACCTGTCTTTGTTTTGCATAGAGTTTTGATTACCAGAAATAATACATAAGATTGTATAAAGAGGTCTATGTAAGAGAATTGCTGATTATCTAAGATAAACGTTTTTTTTTTTTTGGGCTAAGCAACTTTGCCCAGGGTCACACAGCTAGTAAGTGTTATGTATCTGAGGCTGGATTTCAACTCAGGTCCTCCTGAATCCAGGGCTGGTGCTCTATCCACTGCGCCACCTAGCTGCTGCATATGATGGATATGGATTTCTCTAGCTGCCAGTTAACATGTGCTTAAGAAATGAATGAAATTTCAGCTCAAGTAGAGTATATTTTAGGAAGGCAAATCTGTTGTTGCTAAAAACAAACAAACAAAATGTTCGACTCATGCTTAATTTTTGGATTATCAGTGTCAGTGGAATAGACTCTTCTATAGGACTTTAAGCAAGTCCATCAATGACTGTTACTAGAAGAAGATGTGGACATTTTGGGGCTACAATTTTAATGTGATGTGAAAGCTAACTAGCAATATATTTTTATCCCTTTTCATATTTATCTCATTAGTTGCAAGCACTTAAGGAAAAGACAAGACTAAACCTTAGTTACATTAAATAGTTAAATTAAATCATATTTAGCTTTTAAACCCAAAACATCATAGTTCTAAAGGTTATTTCCCCATCCACAATACTTAAGATGTTTTAGGAATCCTCAAAATCTTTTCTGTTATAATTTAGGTAGCACTGGTTCTCATTAGGCACAAGTTCAGATTTTCACCTCCCTCTTTTAGATAGGAATTTACGTTCGTGTAATTGAAGAAAGGTTCTCTTTTTGGTTGCCAGCTCTAAAGCTACCCAAAGATAAGCAAGTTCAGGTATAATGTGGGGTGGATAAGATGCTCTGTTGACCTCGGGATTCAATAACCATTATCTGGTGTGGTTGCCTCAAAGATTTCCATGGGCTTTGCTTTAAGATCTACTCATTAAGAAAATGAAAAACATTACTGAAAAGACACTTCTGCTTCTCCTACTAAGCAAAAGGAGCTAGATAAAAGAGGCTTTAAAAACTTTGCGTAAGTACTAACTGATTCTATAAAAATTTTGCTAAAGTACTAACTGATTCTATTTGGGCTTTTTCTCAATAAAATATCATTTATTGACAGCTGAGATAAGGAAAGCTTAGGAAAAAGAAACAATATTTGAACCAAATAAATTTTGAATTGTTGAATTTTGAATCTGGACATGCAGATACAAGTATATACAATGTGACTTTTAAATTAACAAAGGGAAAACTAAAAGGAAATTCAGTTTTCAAACTCCAAGAAAAGTTACCTGATTGTATGATTACAAGCATGTAAATTTATTTTCAGATTGCAGTTGTGGATGCTGTTGGGGAAAATGCAAGTTTTCTTCTTCTACTAATTTTAGGAAGGAATTTCAAATTGGGGGGAAAAAGCAAAAATAGTATGATATGAAAGGACTCATGGCACAGACATTTCTGTTTTTCCTGGGTTTCCACTCCAAGGGGATTGGAGTAAGAGCTTTTCTAGAAAAGCCCAGCTACCTCCTGCTTTGCCTTGCAGGGAAGTCAGCAGTCCGGGTTTGTTGTGTCATCCTGTTTCTGAAGGCATGATTATGGCAGCAAAAATCTCCCATTATGACTCAGCTGCAGAATTAGAGCACAGTGAAAGATAATCTGGGAGGATAACCCAAGTGTTTTAGAAATTAGCCCTAAGGAAGATGTTCTTTTAAAAAAGTGGCAAACTTTAATGGCCCCAATAGGGTCTAAGTGTGGCCTGTGGACTGGCCTAAGGCTGCATCAGTTGTTCATAAAGCTAGAAAACCTACAGTGCCACTTTCAGTAATGATGAAGACAAAGCATTTGACATCAGCTAGAACAGGAATGACAAGACTGTGTGTTTAGATAAGATCAGAAGGTGATTGAATCTGGCTTCATTTAAAAATAACGATGCTCATCTCCCAGAGCACTTAGCTGAGTTGCTGCAACCTCTCTGGCTTCATGCATGTATTGCATAATTAAGATATAATTGGTAAATCATGCTGGACACAACAATATCAGTATTAAGTGTTACAAATAATTCTTCTATTTTACTTGAAGACCCCCTCCCTCCCATTCAGTAACATAACATGATGGCTCCCACTGCATCTCCCCTATCTGACACCCCAGGATTTGAGCATGCTCTTCCCCCAACCCCCTCCAATGAACAGACAGAGCAGCCAAGGTAAGAAGGAAGTAGGATGCAGATCTAAGCTGGTACTCTGAGCACAGGATAATTTCACGTACATAATTATTCTGTTAAGAATGAAAAAGAGTCAATGACTGAATAACATTGGCTCACAGGGATCAAGTTTTAAATATGACTTTAACAAATTTTAAAACATAGTTAAGAGATCCACATTTAAAACAGGTATGAGAAAATATTTTGGGGTTTGGGATATATAGAGAAAAAGGAAAGGAGCATCATGAGCATTAAATGTATCTCTTTATGTTGAGTGACAACAGGTATCTGTTGACGTGGGAATCTGAAGAGGAACAGAAAAGGACCAGGAATTTAATGCAAATCAACAACAATAAGATCAGTTACCTTCATTACTGGCTGGGCAAAATATTTGGCACTCCAGTCACAGAATCCTGTCTGCATTGTGGCTGAAATGAAACTTTTGTGTCCAACAGTGTCATCTGCATCATCAGTGGTCTTCCAAGAGGAAAGAGAAAGTGAGAGCAAGAGAGAGAAAGCACATAGAAATAATTAGCTCCTTTCTATTTCGTGTTTCATTTCCCCAATTACAAAGTCTGATCTTATTCTGATATATTTCTGTATCTGACTATAACCTCCTATTATTCTACCTTTCCCTATGCCTCAACTCCCCTAAACCCATTCTTTGCCCTTATTAAGGCCTCCAATCCATTCACCCCTTGGTAAGTTCAAAGGCCATTACTCCTCCTCTCACTTCATTTTCCTCTACTCTTGATTCCCTACCCCTTCGTCTTATTACCATACACCCCTTGCCAAATCGTAGCCCTGAATTATTCTCACCATCTAACTTCTAAACTCTTATTCACATGCTGCTGAATAGAGCTGGAGGAAGTCACACAACTTCTCCTGACAGGGTACATTATCAATTTATATTGTTCAACTCCATCTGGACCTTTACTGCAGTAAGGAAATCCTCTGAATTTTCCCTAATTACTTCCAGATTTCATTCCCCACAAAGGCTTTTTCAAACCCTCTCTCCTCTCCTCAAAAACTCCTATACTTCTAACCTCTGCCTACTTCAGCTGAGGACCTGTCCTTTTACTTCACTGAGAAAACTGAGGCCATCTGAGATAAGCTTTGTCTTCTTCCATTCTCTTATCTCAAAACACTTTGACATCATGCTCAATTCTCTTTTCTTTCCTTTGGGCTCTGACAAAGAAGTGGTCCCTCTCCTTGTTTAGGGCAACCTTTCTATGTGCTCTTGATGATATACTCTTTGCTTTCTCCAGCAAACTGAAATCTTAATTATTACTCCTCCCCCTCCCAACCCTCAGTCTTCAATATCTCCTTACCTACTGGTTCCTTCTCTACCACAAGCCTTCACTCATACTCCCCTCTATTCTTTTTTTTCTTTTTTTAAGGCAATTGGAGTTAAGTGACTTGCCCAGGGTCATACAGCTAGTAAGTGTCAAGTGTTTGATCTGAGGCTGGATTTGAACTCAGGACCTCCTGACTTCAGGGCCGGTGCTCTATCCACTGCACCACCTAACTGCCCCTCTCCCCTCTATTCTTAAAAAAACCTTCATTAAAACCCAACTTTTCAAGGTATCTCCTCTCTTTCTTAGCCAAGCTCCTAAAAATTATTTTATGTACTCTGTTTCTACTTTTCCTTCTCTCATTCCTCCACCCTTTGCAATTTGGCATCTAAACTTATCACTTACCTGAAACTGATTTCCTCAAGGCTCTCTAAACTATCAAATCTGATGGCCTTCTCTCAGTCTTAATTGTTCTTGACCTACCTGGGACACTGTTGACTTTCCTCTCCTCCTGGACACTTTCTCTTTTCTCATTTCTTGTGATTCCATTCTCTCCAGGTTCTCATTACACTTGTATGACTGCTCTCTTTCTCAGTCTCCTCTGCTAGCTCATCATCCATATCATTACTCTAACTGTGGGTTTTTTCCAGGGATTTGTCCTAGGCCCCCTACTCTTCTCTTCCTATACTCTCTCTTACAGAACTCATTGATTTTTCACAGGTTTAATTAGCAGCTCTATGCAGATGACTCAAAGATCTCTATACCCAGCCCCAGGCTCTTCTATGAGCTTCATTCAATTCCACATCAACAATTGCCTATTGTACATTTCGTACCATGTGTCAGAGAGAGACATTTCAAGCACCACAAGTCCAAAACGGAACTCATTACTGGTCTTCCCAAACTTTTTCTTGTTCCAAACTTTCCTATTTCTTCCAGTCTCCCAGGTTTACTCTTTCTTCCTCACTTTCTTTTTCACCCCCCTCACCTATCTCATCTTCAGTTGCCAAATCTTGCTTTTTCTCCATACCATTTCTCACCTCTGACCCTTTCTCTATTCACACAATTACAGCATTAATTCAGGCCCTTCTCACACCTAGATGACTGGAACAGCTTTAAGTCTCTCTGCACATCAGGCCATCTTCCACATTGCTGTCAAGTGATTTTCCTCGGGAATGAGATGCTGACCATGTGATTCCTCTCCCTACTCAATCAACTCTAGTGGCTTCCTATTGCTTCTCACCCTATCTTTCTACTATCACTGAACATCACTCTCCCTCTCACACTATGTGATCCAGCCAAATTAATTTTCCTCTCTGTTCATTCTTCAAGACACTCCATCTCCCTGCCTTTGCACCAGCTGTCCCTTGTGCCTGGAATGCAGTCCTTTTTCATCTTCACCTCACAAAATCACTTGTTTCTTTCAATATGTTGCTCAAGTACCACCTTGTATATGAGACCTTTCCTGATTTCCCCCAACTTCTAGTGACATCCTTCTCTAAATAACTTGCACGTAACTAGCCCTGGCACTCATACCTTAGAAGTACCTCTGGTATTGCAGCCCCTCAATCTGATTGGAAAGTTTCTCCCAGAGCCTCCATTTAAGGAGAGTGCCCAGGCCAGTTATCTTCACTTCTCACTGGGCCCTACTCTGAAATTCTGAATCCACAGTCCCTTGTGCTGGGTACCTCCTCTCACCCCCACTCCTACTTTTCAGTATCCTTTTATATGTTCTCTTCTCCCATTAGAATGTAAGGTCCTTGAGGGCAGGGACTGTCTTTGATAAACAGGCACACATAGTAAAGGCTTAATAAATTTTTGTTGACTAACTCACCTAACTTCTATTTATTCTTTGTATTTAATCTGTTTATACTCATATATATGCTGGTTACTTCCCACATTAGAATATGAGATTCTTGTGAGTACAGATTGTTTTCTTCATTATATGTATATCCCCTGTAACTTACTGATTGATTCCCTAATGATAAGAAACTGGACTTGGAAAATCCAGAAGAGGAGATAAAATAAAAAAGAACAGTTTCTTCAGGTAAGAGTTAAAACTTAATTATGGCAGCAATTCTAGTGATGTGTTTGTGTTGGGACAGTGAAACAAAATGTCTGTTGTTAGCTATGCCAAAATTTGGAGTCCAGAAATGTTAGCCAATGATAAACACAAACACAAACTTACATCTGGCTTGATTTCTTGACTAGATTGGCAGATGAAGCAGCAGCTGCCATTATGTCAGGTTTCATCCACAGAAGAGCTAAGCTTCACACTTGGTACAATTTGGCAGTCTCTACTCCTGAGCAGTCTAGGCATGGAGTAGCAGGTGGTATTCTTAGTTAGGAACAAGGAACAGTTGCAGAATGACATTTGTAAAACTTTGTCCACCACCTGCCAGCATCATGCTTAGCCAGTATGACGGCTACTTTTTAATCTACGGGGCACAATGATTCTCTTCACAATTATCCCCCTTCTTCCCTTTTCATCAATCGACTCTGCTGACCCCTACACTGTTCAGAGGTCTAGAATGCATCACACAAATACAAACATACTACAGGCCCACTCATTTTACATAGATGTATTTGGTGTAACCTGAAATTTCTTTTTAGTTCCAGTGACCTTGGCATAGGAAGCCAGAAAATATTTGTCAAGAATCATTTTATGATCATGTAGTAGACATGATCCTGACAAATCCTCACCACACAAATTAAAACATGAAAGCTCTCCCTTCAGAATGTCTTTTGAACTGTATTGAGAAGGAAATAATATCAGTTTATGCAGAAGACTTGAGTGTTTAAAAAACATAACTTGCTCAGATTAAATAATTCTATTCAATAGCTGTGGTTAACATTGCCACACCAAGTGTTTCTTCAGGAAGAAGGAAAATCAATTTTACTATTTGGTTTTATTTTGTGGAAGTTGCCAAGAATAGAAGAAATGAGACTAGTGGCGACAGCAATAAGATAAATGCATACTGCAATATTCATAAAGGATATGATAGCTCAAACAATAGCATAGATGTGGACGCAAAAGACAAAGAAAGGAAGCGGTAATCTGACTAAATGGACTAACCAAAAGTTGGAAGAGTTGTAGGAAATAATCCTAGCTCTGTTTATTACAAACTCAGTGACATGAAGTTAAATCCTGATGCCCTTCTTCTAACACCCGAGAAATATGGACACCAGCTCTTGATTATGAACTAATTAGAATGGTTGTAAAAGATTTACAGGAAAATAATGATGCCCAAGAAGGTTCTGTCAGATAGTAAAGGTGGTCATTGTTTACCTGATCTGGACCCTTGTCAAACATCTTTCGTGTCCTGGGGAACTGGTGGGAATGAGGTGTATACTGCACACCCATGGGACCCACATTAGCTGGTCTGCCTGATGGGATGTCCCGACTGCCCGGCTGCTTAGTCACGTCATTGGTCAGACTGGAGCTGCTGGTACTTGATGTTGGAGGAGAGCCTCTGTCAAAGGAAGAAGTATAAGAGATGAATATGACGTTTTACATAAACCTTCTTACTTAAAAATATAAGCTTTCATTATGCCCCCACCAAGATCTCATAGAGACCCTAAAAGGTCATTAGGTCTAGCCCCTAGTCTCTAAACATATACTCTCTTAAATTACTGAACATTACTATTAGTGAGAACCCTTTAATTCCTTTTCCAACTAAGTCTTTTTCATAGAAAATTAGTATACCAATATGTAGGCTAAGAACTAACTGAATTAACAAATGAATCATTTCTACTCTTATAAGTAAGGAATACAGAATAATTTACTATGTTTTATTTGCATTTGTCATGCAATTAAATTGCTCCCCGAGGTACAAAACTGTCACAGGGAAAAGTCTTCTCATAAGTTTTCTACTTGGGGTATGCTACTATTGACTTTTACAATTTTATAGGAACACTAAGGAGACCTTTAATTGTTATACTATGTGCAAACAATGGATTGACCTCAACTTGGAGAAGACCTCTGGGAATGGAGGAAAATATACTTTCCTCCTTCTGGGAGGAAGAGTATGGAAGATGGAGACAGAGAAGAAATAGACAAAAATATAAAAAGGGAGCATATCATCTGAGAGAGAAAGTACTAAGAAAAAATGAATCATATTTATTTTTCTAAATCAGTAAGATAACTTACCCTACTTGGTGAATGTGCATGCCCTTGTTAGTAGGGCTAGCTGGGGCAGACTGAGTAAGAGAAGAAGTGTCAAGGATGCGCTGAGGACGGGCATTGACAGTGGCCTGTAGAAAAAAGGGACAAATAGCATGAAAGATTAATCAATTAATCTGCAGGTATTTATTAAGAATCTCCCAAGTGCCAGGCACAAATATAATGAATCCTTCCTTCCAAGGAGCTTACATTCTAATGGGGGAGATAACAAGGACACATGTAAGCAGAAGGACCGAGAAAGGGACTGGACCTGTGATTCCATTGGTGGAGGAAACTTCCTATACCTACCAATGCAGGTTGTACCTTCTTGGCAACTTTCAGACTTTCAGAGTTGCCTGGGGATAACTGGGAGGGTAAGTAAACTGCCCAGAGTCACACAGCATATAAGGATATATCCAGAATAAATATAATGAGGATAAACACAAATGACTACATAGTCATTAAGCACCACGTAGTTTGGAATGGAGGGCACTGGCAGTTTATAGGGAATCAGGGAAGACTTCATAGGAGGGAATGCGTAAGCTGTGGCTTGGAAGAAGAGAGGGGTTCTCTGAGGTAAAGATGAGGAGGGAATGCACTGTCAAGTGTAATAACCCCTTCTCAGGTTACAAGATAAAAGTACAAGGTTACTGGCACCATTATATGGCTCTACAACTACATACTAATAAGCATTTTTAAAAAAGAATTTTGTCTGTAAAAACAAAAATGAGCTGTTCACAAAATGCAATTCTTGATATTTATTTACTTTACTATTTTTAAATTCTAAACCAATCTGATCTAACAAGTAATTATTTAGTGCATACTCTGTGCAAGGCTAAATACTAAGTTCTCTGTACTAAGTGCTGGGGGTGCAAAGATAAAATGAAAAGCAGTCCCTGTTCTTACAATCTACTAATTGTTTAGCTGGGATCCAATAAGCCCTAACTATAGCAATTATTAAAAAACTAGTTATGTACTACCTTAATTTAGACTTTTCATCACCTCTTGTTTGAACTACTGCGATGGCCTCCTAAGGAACCTCCTCTGCTTCCACTGCTCTTCCTTCTGATTTCTAGCTTCAAAAATAATCTTCTCAGGGCAAAGGTTTGAACATGTCACTGCCCTGCACAAAAAAAACTTGGTGGCTCTCTACTGCCTCTAGAATAAAATTCAAACACCTTGCCCTGGCATTTAAACCCCTCTACCATCTGGCTCCCACTAACCTTTTCCAGCTTTAATTCATTATACTACTCATTACACTCTCTGTGTTCCAGCCAAACAGGGCTACTAGCTGTTTCCTGGGCTTGGCTTCATACCCAGTTGTAAATGTTTTTTCCTGTCTCAAACTACTTTGCATTTACTTATCTGTGCATACACAAGCTTCCAGAGATTGTTTTCTTACTGACTTGGTATCCCCCACACTAAACACAGTGCCCTGTACATATTAAGTATTTGATAAATATGTTGAATTGAAGAAAAAAGTTACAAAGTGATTAAAAATTAAACAAAGCCAAAATTACAAAGGGTGGAGGGAAAGCTTCTAACTTCCTGATCAAGAGTGAGCTGTCCCTCCTCAAATGCTGTGAAAGTACTTCATTTGAAACTTTCCTTTGCCCCTATCACATACAAGCATGTGTTCTAATTATTTATGTGTATGACACATCCCTGTCCAACCTCTTCCAGTGCAGGGATGGATTAGATGTTGGAATAGGCACTAATTATGAGACTATCATAATGATCTAGGTGAGAGACCATGACAGCCTAAGGTGGTAGCCTTGGGGGATGTTGTGGAGGTAGAATTGACAAGAGTTCACACATAATTGGGTACAGGGAATAAGGTAAAGGCAAAGTTGAGGAAATTATTGAGATTGAAAAACTGGGTGACTAGAAGGATGTTGGTACCCACAAATGAAATATGGAAGCATTTGGATGTGGGATAAGTATAAGAGAATACAATGGAAAGCCATGTGAAGTCTGAGGACAAAGATCTGCTTATGCAAACACAATCCACTGGAACATACTATAAGTGAAAGTACTTGTATTTAAGGCTACTTCCCATCCCTAGGAGAGTGGTTTGTCTGGAGCAAATTCTCAACTTTCATTTCTCCTCTTCTTTCCCCCCTCAGATTGTCCAAGCTCTCACACCACTTTAGTTTTCAGACAAATCCTCTTGAACATTGTGGTTCTCATTTTGAGGAGGCATGAGTAGTGGCAGACTCATTATAATACTGTACATCATGTATTCTTCAAAAACAAAAAAGCAGACTCTGTATGCTCTGAAGAATAAAGCTGGGCACCTGAGGTGGCCTTCGAATGTATTATCTGTTCTTGTTTAAAGCCATATGAGTACTATATCTCTTGCTCCTTCCTGAAAACATAGCTTTTTTAAGAATTATTTTACCTTTGCTGTGAATGGGACAAAGTTAACTATGTCATGGAAATAATTACTTGGGAATAGAAAGAGAAGATATATATTAGAAATAGTACCTAATACTGTAATTATGCCAGAAATTCAATTCATGGGACCTATGTCCCAAGCTAGACCTCTGTCATTAAAGTTGGTTTGTATTCATTTAGCTCCCTAAAGAGATTTATAAAATCCTTGGAGAATTGGGGCTGTGGGGAACAACTACAATAAAGGGCTCTCTACTATTTTTTTCTTGAAGAGAAAAAGAATTCATCTTGAACTGCAAAACAAGCTCTCGTGTCTCAGTTCCGTGACTTAGTGATGTGAGAAAACACTTGTTCATCTTAAAATAATTTATTTCATGCCACAGAATTTTTTTCTTTCTGTATTCCTTCTTCATCGAAAAATACTTACCACAGATTTTTGCTTATAATGCCTGAATTTTTTTTAAAATCTATGTACAGTAGGAACAGTAATTTTGAATACCTGCCCCTGATTGAAAGAGTATAGACCAGGAATTGCTTATGAATGTTCTGATCTGAATATGTGCGACACGTAACTAGGTAAGTAAGTGGAAAGGTAATTAAGCCTCAGGCCTTCTGAGGGAGCAGCTTGATGAAGCCATCCTGGGAAGCTGCTTCATTAATGGGTCATACCCATAAAGCTCTGCTTAAAGGATCCAAGACTTTCTATAATTGTATCCAACTGTGTTGCCATTAGCATTTGGAGAAACCAGAGAAGTCGATCATTTTCATTTCTCTTTTTATTTTCTCTATTTTATGGGCTCAAAACATTTTTCATCAAATTTGCTTTGTTGCTAAACCCTGTGGATAATGGGAAAATAGTCGATGTTGTAAAGCTTCCTTCCCCTGGGGCTTGTAGGGTTTGAAATTTCAACACAGGAAAAAAAAATCTGTGCCAGCTTCAGATGTGGCACCTGGGAGGGCAGGGCTTCCTTGTTTTGGGATTTAATACAGATGTGGAAACCTGAAGTCTGCTGTGGGGTTATAGAGGGTAGGGAAATAATAAACCAACAAAACTATTTATTGGCAAGTGGATTGCCTTTTTTAAAAACCTAGACTTTGCAAAGATTTTTCTTTTTTAATAATCCCCCAGCACAGTTTTAGGAGAGCAGCTCCGATCTACTCTGGCCACCCAAAGTCATTAGATTTCAAAGAACCTATGACACCCACACAGAATGATGACTTAGTTTTAAGGGACACAGCTGAAGAAACAGACAATGTCAGATTAAAAAAACCAAACCAAACCAAACCAAAAAACCTATTTAACAAGACCTTGAATTGGCAACTTCCTGTGTATCTCTATTTCTTCTTGAATATATAACTCAACTTCCAAGAAATCCAATTTTTCATTCATAAATATCAATTAGTAGTTAGGAACTTTGGAAAGGCAACCAGGTCCATAGATTTAAAATGCAAGACCAATTAATTATACAATCCTTCATTTAAATAGCATCAGAGCTTCCATGATTCGGTTTACAAAAATTTATTAAGTCTCTTTGCTGTGTACAGAGCACTGAATGAGTCAGAATTGGGGAGGAAACAAAGTTAAGGTTAGACAATGTCCCTGGCTCACAGGATATGGCATATACACAGAATATTACAATAGAAAAATAATATATCAGAGAGGCACAAAATGCTATTTGGGCAGCAAAAGGAGGTTGCTAAGGTCACAAATGAAATAAGTTTCCTTAATATTATAAATAAAGGTTTTCTCCCCTGTAGAATGTAAGCTCCTTGCAGGCAGAGACTTTAAATTAATGTCTTTGTATCCTGGGTTGCTAACACAGTAAGAAACACAAAGGCACTAAATAAATGTGTACAGAATTGAATCCTTGCCATAAGCCTGGAAACTGGGATTTAAAAAAAAAAAAAAAACAACCCCACCCCCACTGGGATGAATTATCTCCATAGTGAAACCTATCCAATATGAGTACTTTTGAGTCAAATTCTTCAGTTTATTTTCTCTTAAGTATGCAAATTGCTTGACCACCTCACATTCCTCTCCCCCGCTCGCAAAGTCTGAAGAGAATCACATTTCAGATAAATAAAGGGGAGAAACTTAAACTAAGAAATTGTCATTTCATTTCACATTGCTCATTTGGGAATAATTTTTGACTGCTCTTCTCCACACTTCCAGAAAAGCAGTTGAAGGCGGAGGAGGAATACTTTGTTGTTGAACCGGAAAACTTCACCAAAATTCAGCAACCTTTCAATTACTTAAGGAATATAAAAGCTTCACCAATCACTGCCTTGGACAGTGACTCATTACCCAAACTTCTCAGACACTCGAGAGATGATTCCACTCTGAATGTGCCATTCCATTCCACTCTGTGGATTCATCAGCCCCCACAGTATCTGCAATGAAGTCCCAACAAGGAAAATGAGTAGGAGTTACTGGGTTCTTAACTCACTTCTCTACTTCAGGGCTTCCCAACATCACAAAAGAGTAGGATTTCTGCCTTGGATGAATGGATTTTTGGCTTTTCCCAGATTCTCTTATACATACCAATGGATCATTGCTATTTTTTTAGAAAGTAAACTAAAGTAATTTTGCTTTAAGTTATCTGAAAGGACAAGTAGCTCTTTACTAGTTCAGTTAACATCTATTACTTTTTACTTAGAGTAGTAGCATCATACATAAGGATTTCTGCTGGCTGCATAT